AAAAAAAAAATAAAAAAGCGTTCCTTGATCCGAAGAGACAAAAGAGAAATCCCGTTCCGCTAATAAATAAAAAAAAATAAAAAAATCGTTCCTTTGATCAACGTTCTATTATCAATTCAATTACTTCTTTCTCCTTATCACAACTTTTAAGGTAATAAACAAACTTTATATAACCGGAATTTATATACCATTACAAAAACTCTCCTTTTTCGTGTCTTCAAAACTGGTTATAAACTCATCAGTCTTATAATGAAAGTAGTTTATCTTTTCTCTGAATAATACCTCGGCCTTTTCTCTTTTTTTCAATTTTCTTTCTTTTTTTTTCTCTCAATTTCTTTTTTTTTCTCTCTCTCTCTCTCTCAATTTTCTTTTCTCTCTCCTCAATTTTCTTTTCTTTTTTTTCTCTCTCTCTTTTCTCTCTCTCTCAATTTTTCTTTCTTCTTTTCTCTCTTTCATTTTTTTCTCTCTCTCTCCCTTAATTTTCTTTTCTTTTTCTCTCTCTTTTTATTTTTTTTTCCAGATTTTAAATGAAGCGAGAAACGCGTTGGTAATTAATCGAGTGATTAAGAAAATAATAGTGGCAATTGGTACTGTTAATTAGAAGAACAAGAACAGGAGCAAACAAAAGACTAAACAAGGATAAGAAGAAAGGAAAGACGCAAAAAAAAAGAACGAAAAAAAGAAAAAAAAAAAAAAAAAAAAATATAAAATACATACATATACATAATATATATATATTATATATATATATAATAATATATATATATATATATATATATATATATATAATATATATATAAACACGAACATAGACGAGAACAAGAACAAGAGAAAAAAAAAAACAAGAACTTGGACATAAATAAGAACAAGAATGATAATATCAAGAACGACAATAATGATAATAAAAAAAGAAGAAGAAGAAAAAAAAAACAGGAGAGAAAATGAAGAAGAAAAGAAAAAGAAATAAAAGTAAAACGAAGGAGAAGAAGAAAAAAGCAGGAAATGAAAGAATAAAAAAAGGAATTAAGATAGGGGAAAAACAGGAAAATTAATGCAAAAAATAAGAAAACTAAAAAAGGGGAGAACTGAAAAAAACGAAAAGAGGAACAAGGGAGGAGGAGGAGAAGGAGAAAAGGGGGGGGGGGGCAAAAGAGGAGGAGAGAGAGAGCAATGGAAGAAGGAAGAAGAGGAGTAGATAGGAAAAGAGAAGAACAGGGAGAGAAAGAGGAGAGCAGAGAATAAAAAAGAAAAGAAATGAAGAATAGGAAAACTGGGAAGAAAAAGGAGAGGAGCATAGAAAAAGGAAAGAGGTTGAGGAAGAAGGAAAGAAAAAAAAGAAAAAACATAAGAAGTAAAAAAAGAAAGAAAAAGCAAAAGCAAAAAGAAGGAGAAAAAGAAAAAGAAAGAAGACGACGAAGAGGAGAAGAAGGACAACAAGAAAAAAAAGTAAAAGCAAAGAGAACCTCAGGTAAGTGACCCCAGCCGGATGCCGCAAGAAGAAGACGAGAGAAATCTATGAATGTTTTCTTGAGATCATCAGCGTCGTCTTTGAGGTGTTTTTGACTCTCTCTCTCTCTCTCTCTCTCTCTCTCTCTCTCTCTCTCTCTCTCTCTCTCTCTCTCTCTCTCTCTCTCTCTCTCCTCTCTCTCTCTCTCTCTCTCTTTCTCTTCTCTCTCTCTCTCTCTCCTCTCTTTCTCTTCTTGTCACGTTCTCTATAAGGCATCAGTTTTCTTCGTCTTCGTCTTCGTCTGTTCTTCTCCTTCTCCTTCTTCTGTGGTGTACGTGCGTGCGTACATGCGTGCGCGCGCCGCGTGTGTGTGTGTGTGTGTGTTTGTGTTTGTGTTTGTTTGTGTTTGTGTGTGTGTATGTGTGTGTGTTGTGTGTGGTGTGTGTGTGTGTGTTGTGTGTTTGTGTTTGTGTGTGTGTGTGTATGTGTGTGTGTGTGTGTGTGTGTGTGTGTGTGTGCGTGGCGTGTGCGTGTGCGTGCGTGTTTGTGGGTTTTCATATCCATCAATTTGATAATATTCCTCTTACTAATAAGATAACTAATGCCTACTTCTAAACAAATATGAATCATGCAAAAACAAACTATTTTTTGTTATTCTAATCTCTCAAGATACGAGAAATGCCTCTCACTAAAAGGCAATAAACAACTGGTGACATGAATTTAATTGAATTTTCGAAAGAACCAAAAAAAAAAAAAAAAAAAAAAAAAAAAAAAAAAAAAAAAAAAAAAGTTAAAAAAATCAAACGGGAAAACACTTTGGCAATAAATCTTTACGACTCATAATTCACTTGTCTCTTTCTTTCTCTTTTGATCGAGGGAAAAAAAAAAGAAAAAAAAAACTCAATGATAAGTATAACTTTATGATTTATATCCGGAAATTTGATAGCAATTTACATCAGACTTTTTCTTCTCTTTTTTTTTTTTTTTTTTTTTTAATTAGAAAACAAATCTCGTTCGTATCGTATAGCGTAAGCGGGAGTGACGTCACAAGCGGACGCGAATATAGCTTCTAACGCCGTATGGTCGACGAACACACTACAACCCACTAGGACTTTGGACCTTAACGACAACACGGCCTTTTAAACGCCGACGAATCTCCCCAACAGTGGCATTAAAGCGCCGAACAAGAAGCCTTCCGGAACGACATGTCTAATGCCATATTTTACGTCACACGCCCGGACCTTGTCGGTGGGCGTGAGGAATTGTGGTTGTTCGTCGGGCTTATGGTGGCTGTTGGTCGGGGGCGGTCGAGGGGGCGTTTGGGAGGGCGGGTAGGGAGGGGGGGGGAGGGGGAGGGGGCGGTCGGAGGAGAGATCGGGGGCGGTCGGGGGAGGTCGGGGAGGTCGGGGCGGTCGTGGGAGGTCGGGGTGGTCGGAGGGGCGGTCGGGGGGGGGCGGGGGCGGTCGGGGGGCGTTTTGGGAGCGGTCGGGGGGGGGGGGGCAGGGGGCGGAGGTCGGGGTGAGTTCGGGGGCGGGTCGCGGGCGGTCGGTAATTTCGGCCGCTGGGTCGAGGACGCCTTTTAAAAGCAGGCCCGCGGACGGAGTGGTGGCTGGGGTCGGGTTTAATATTCTCGAGGGCCGCTCCCTGATACCGCTAATGTGCAACGGCGACATTTTTATTGTTTTATTATATACTCTGTATGTAACACGCACACACACAACACACACATACACACACACACACATAACATCATACTACACACATACACATAACATTACATATACATACATACACATATACATGTACACATACACATACTCACAACTCACACTCACACATACACATATACACATACACATATACTCACACTCACACATAACACATACACACACACATACTTCACTTTCACAATTTCTCCCACCCTTAATCTTCTTCTCTTCCTTTCGTTCCCTTCCCCTTCCTTCCCTTCAACAATTCCTTCCTTTCCTTTCCCCTCTTTACTTCCTCCCTTTTCATCCCCTTTTCCCTCCCCTTCCTCCCCTTCTGCCCCTCTCACCCTCCCTTCTTCCCATTCACCCTCTACCCCCCTCCCATTTCTCCCCTTATTCTCTCCTCCTTCTGCCATCCCAACATCTTTTTCCCTCTCCCATCCCTCCTCACCCTTCCCCCTCTCTCCTCCCCTTTCCCCTTCTTTCATCCACTCTTCCCTCTTCCCCTTCCTCGCCCCCCTTAACTCACGCTCCTTTCCCCCTTCTTCCCTCTTGTCCCCCTTCCATCACTCTTTTCCCCCTCCTCTCCTCTCCTCCTCCCTCTTCCCCCTCCTCCCCTTCCCCTTCCTCCCATTCCCCCCCCTCACCCTTCTCCTCTACCCTCAACCCCTTCTCCCTCCTCCCCCAACACCTTCATCCCTCCTCCCTTTCCCCCTTTCTCCCTCCTCCCCCTCACCCTCACCCCTTTTCTCCTCCCCTTTCCCCCTTTCTCTGACATTCTGCCATCCCGAATCTCGCATCTCATTAGGGGGAACTTGGCCGCCCATAAATTTATGCATCATGCGATCAAAGTCTAATTAATTTGCAAAAGTTGCCGCCACTAAAGCGAAGCAACACCGTGTCATTGGTCAAGAGCCGCCCGCGGTGGGCGGATGGGCGGCTTTCGGGTCGGGTTTTTTGGTGGGGATGATAGTGGTGGGTGGTTGAGGGGTTGTTGGTGTTTGTTGTTGTTGTTGAAGTTGGTGGTGGTGGTTGGGGTGAAGTTGG